GGAGATGCAAAGCCTCATAGGAAATGCAGTTGTTATACCTAATGTGAGAAGGCACAAACTATTCATTCTCAAAAATGCCTCACTACTGTCGAGAATCTGAGCTAAAAGCTACTCCACTAGCCTCATACTATTTTGATTTGATTTGTGTGTGCTTTTGTGTGTTTTAAAAAAATGTGGGTTGCAAACTTCCATAATTGAGGCACTAAAAGTAGTGACTAAATATATACACATATCACAGCCACCAGAGTTATGTATTATGGCTTAGATGAAATGTACATATGAAGGACATCGGCAGACAGGGTTATAAACAGTTTTAAGCCATGGTTATTTGAAAGCAATTAACCTGTTGGTCTTTGTAATACTCAATTAACAAATTATTACATCTATTAACCATTTATTAGTCCTTTATCAGTTACTCATAAATAGAACCTTAACGTAAAGCATAACTTTTTTGGCCTTTTAGATTAACAGTTAGTTTGGGGAGATGATGTATGAGTTAATAGTAACATATTTTTGGACTGAAGGGCTGATCTTGTCAGGTACAGAGAAGAAAAATCAAACCCTCCACTGATTACTAACCAACATAGGAACAACTAGTGGATGGAAAAGTTTTGCACAAGGCGTTTCCTCTTGGGTGCTGGGGAAGAGGAAAGAAATGTTTTCTGAGTCTCAGCGATGCTGCAAATAAAGGGGCTGTGCATATACTTGAAGTACCTTGATGAACAAAGAGCTACAAATAGGTTGCCACCTCTGACATGCAAAAATACCTGGCGGAGCTGGGGAAAAATGGCTGCTACAGCTGCAGATGGGTCTGTACATGCAGAACGCCTCTGATGCCAACCAGTAAAGTCTACAGTAAAGGCAGCCAAGCTAAATGGCAACCACCCAGAGGGCAATCTCATTCATAATAGCTCTGTGAGCTAGGAAAATATTTGCATACAAATTTTATGGAGGAAACTGAAATTGAGATTAAAGCCTTGATCTTATAAAGAGACTTGGCCAAACAGTGGTCTGTGCCTATAGAGACGGGATCTCTGTGGTACTCCACACACACAGGGCATGGCCCTGAGCAGCTGTGAAATCAGTACCACACCTGCAGGAAAGCCTAGACCCATGGCTCAATCCTGAAAAAGGAGACCAGGTTGGAAGTGGCATGTCCTGTCCTTGCAGATGAATGAAATGCTTCAGGTCACTCTCTGGTGTTGTTATATCTTTTGATGATATAATTTAGGAGAGATCCTGATAAATACTTAAGGTTTACTTTTACGTTTCTGTCTTTGAGCAAAACCTTATATTTCTGCAGTACCAAAGAAGCTACCACTGCTGGCATTGTCTTTCAACTGTATTGACAGGGTGTGTTGGTCTTTGCCATGCCCTCAGCGGAGATACTTATGCCTGGTAAGCACTGCTTCCTGTCAAGGTCATTCTGCAGCTTCACAGACACACTCTGCCCAAAATAAATTAATAACAGAGCACACCTATCAATATTTATTACAATTACTCAGGCAGAATATAAAACAAAGGCTTCATCCCTGAGCAATGTCTAGTCAGACAAGCAATGACCCCAGGACCAGGCCCCCCAAACCTTCACCCCCTTGTAAACCATGTCATATCCCAAGAGAAACAAGGGTTGGAGCTGCTCTTCTGCTTTTGTAAGGAAGATGGAGCCAGGAGGAGATCTTCCCACAGAAGAGGGAGAAAGCTGATAGGGCTCTAATTAACCTTTCAATAAAATATTTCCTGGTGCCAAAGAGGATTGTTGTCTAGGATATTCATTTATGCTGTCAGGCTGAAATCCTCTAAAACCTTTCTAAGGCCATGACCCACATACCAAAGGATACGTTTAAGACGGTGGTTGTACAAAACTGCTCTCTTCAGTAACTAAGTGGTCATATTACAGCCTGTTGCTTTTCAGATTTAAAAAATAGGTACAACTGTGATTTTGGGTGTGTGGGTTCACTCTTTAAAAGCATTTAGGAGAAGAAAAAAATGTATTGTTGTTAGCTTATCAAATGATGACCAACTTTCATATTTTGTGGATGCTACTGAAAAAAACCTTTTTTTTTGTGGATGCTTAAATAGTTGTTTTAATGTCAGATTTTCTTTACCAGCTCTATTGTTTTTGTAGTTCTTCATTCACTTCAGCCAAGCAGTGTGCGAGGAATGCCAGATCAGGCTTCCTGAAAATTAAGCTCAATTAAGCCAGGTGGCCTTTGATTGTTAACGATTGATTAGAAAGGAAAAGACAGATTTACAGCAAATTAGTCAATAACTGAACATTTTTTCTTAGTAAGAGAGATCTCCTTTCTGCCTGTTGTTATTTTAGGTATTCCATTAAGATCCCTTTATTTATGTTGCCATGCTGAGATAGAAAGGCTTTTTTTATTCTATTGACAAACCTGTCACTTGGAAAAGAACATAATGCTGCTGGTGGCTTTACTGATTAGTGGTGGCGTTGACTATATTAAATACGATAATGATGTTAATATATTGCCATTTAGGTACACAGTGGTGCTTGCTTTCTGCGTGAGGGGAGGTCACACTCAACCACACTATTTGTTTTCATTAGTGCGGTGAGGGCGGAGAGGTACATCAGTGCGTAACCCCAGAGCAGGAGCAATCTCCAGGCAGGAGCAGTGCTGCACAAATGTTTTCCCTCTGATATTTCTAACCTTACAAAGAGCCCAATGAATCTTTGACCTGACTTAAGCAACAGTGTGCCTAAGGAGTGGCTTGCATCACAAACTCGATCAATATTTGTTTCAGGCATTTTATTCCAGACAGGCAAGTTTTCTGAGGTTGTGAATAGCAGCAAACACAGGTGGATGGCTAAACGCAAGGAAAGGCCGTGGCAGCAAAGTGCACCACCAGTAGAAGCTTAGGCACCTCAGAGAACAGCGTCCGAATAGGGGCTTTCTGAATCTCAGTTTTGGCCTGAATTCCTGTTTGAGTTGAAGCTTGGATGCTGCTACATCCACTAACCATAATACCAATCCCAACTTAGTAGCAAAGTACCTCAGAGAAAAAATGCTAGCCACTTCTGGTTTTAGAAGCCTAAATACTTTTGAAAAGTTGACACTATAATCAGCTGCACAGAGAAGCATCTTGCAGTCCATCACCAAAACACAGTGAGTAGACATGTACAAGATTTTTTCTCTGTTTTCCTCCCTGTCCCTTTGTCTCTGGCATTTTCACCAGGCTGAGGGAAACAATGAGCAGATGAATCACACAGAAACCCCAAAAATGCATGAGTGGAAGCAGATAATGAAATGTGTAAGGAAAACAGTTGGAGCCTGGTTTTCAATGAGAGTCAGTACCAGAACCTTAAAGAACCAGTATGGCTGGGTGAGCCTTATCCAGGGCTTGTCAAGGTCCTGAGTGTACCCAAGGACCACTCATTCCACTTTGGTACAAGACACATCTTCTCTGCTGGTAGTGCTAAAGCAGTGTAGCACAGCAATTTTCTTTAGGCCACCAGAAGCCGCAAATTCTCCTTTTCTCCATTTGTAGTGATTGCATGTATGGATTTGGTTGTTGTTTAAGTGTGACAGGGAAACTAAGACAAAATCACAGCTGTATTGCTTAAGAACCATAGGAATAGAAAGGACATGGTTAAATTAATAGGGGTGTTCTGTTGTTCAGATCTGGGAACATGGAATACAAGCCAGGTCTGGGCAGTGAATGTTAAAGCAGCAGTAAAATGGGCAACATTAAAAGTATAAAAGGACTATTATAAACTCCTGATTTAACCTTCTTAATAAAAACTGAAAGCTGGCATTGGTTCCAGTAAGGGCTACTGAAAGTGTGACTGTTAGTACAGGTGGGGCCAGGGAGAGGGAAAGGAAGAGAAAACAGAGCATCAGGTGAAAGTGTGCTTTTATTGTCCGATTTTTTTTTTTTTTATTAACAAAGCTTGTAATGAAAAAGGGGTAGGTGGACTCCTCCACTTTATGTAGTGAAGGGGAGCCTGAAGAGTCCCCACAAAGAAGGACCTTGTCTTTTTGACATGCTCCTTTTTCCATCTTTGACTCCAGATGTTTCAGGCACTGGGTATCTGTCAGGTCAGAAGTTAAACTGAGAAGACAGAAAAGCTTCCCTTCTTGTCTTTGCACTAGCCATAAGTGATATGTCATCTTACTTCTCCTAAGGTTCTTTTATTTTTCATTGAGGTAAGTCAAATGACATTGCCCTACCTGTGGGCTGAAAAAAAAAAAAAAAAAAAAAAAAAAAACACAAACAAAAACAAAACAAAACAAATACACTACTCTTATCCCACATAGAATTGACCTCATTCTCCAGAGGGTTCCTTGCCTTTTCTCCCATTGACTACATGAGGGCTCTTAGCTACATGCCCAACTAAGTTGCTGTGAACCTGGAGGTGCTGAGGGACAAAACATAACCTCTCGGTGTGCTGTGAGTGGTTCTTGTCAGTGCCATTTCTATTGAAGATGACAACCTCTTCTGCTTGTACACTAGGGTTCTGGAAACGTGTCACCAGTCAGAAATTCAGAATGCTGAAGGCCTGTTCCTACCCCAGAAATTGGCTAGAGACTATTATTAGCTGATTTCCAGGAGAACCCTGTTCTGTCCGTTCTTTTCTCATATGCCATATATTTAACTAAGTGATGAATTTTCCCCTGAAGATCTCTGTCTTCTTCCCATTGCTCTTTCTCCTTTAACCCTTAAGTATAACATCTAAAATGATTGAGAACTAGAAATAAAATGTCTAAAAATGAAACATCTGTTGACCGTGATCTCTCAACTATTTCCTTCAATTTTGGTTACTCTTGTAAAGGCCTTTAATGAGGGACATAATGTATTTTTATTATTTTAACTAAGTCCAGTGATTTTCTTAGTTGTGTCATGCAGTGTGCTGCTACTGATTAAGTTAATGTAGATTTTTTTTTTCTCAGAAAGAAGTAGGCTAGATACATTTGTGTCTGACTGAGAGATCTGAAATGTAAGTAAACTAGAGAAATAATTGGAAGACCATTTCATAACAGGTTTGAGTTGGATAATGGATTGACCTAAGTCTGAAGTACTGCAGATGTGAATTAGGATCACTGTGTGTGATTTATTTCTGCTTCTTCAATGAATGATAAAAAACATATTTTTCTGTATGTATTTCTCCATTTACAGTGTAGGACTTCATGAATGAATTGTCAGATCAGGTTCAGAGAAATCATGTGATCTGATGACACAAAGAATGAGGTAGGTGGAATAGAGTACATCCCCTCCCACTCAGTGTGCAACATCTTGCAGGATTAATCCCAAACTGAGGGCTGTTATAGTTCACATTTATTAGGATGAGCTGGTCATTATAAGAAACAAACAATGTGTCAAACTTGATCAAAATTAACTTGGCTGCTGGCCAGTTAAACAGAAATTAGATCATCGCTCACTGGGCCAAAGACATCAACGGTATGTTGATGCATTTCTCAATAGCAATTTCTTGAAATCTCTCAGCTGTAATCAGAGAAGGAAAGGGTTTCATTTCTCTGCTTTCTTGTAGCTCTGTCCCATGCAGGTCCAAGAGAAGGCAGCTGTGATGGCACTCTGGTGCATGGAAGCCATGGAGATGTGGGGCTCTGCACAAGGAAATCTGCATGCTGAATGGAAGGAATAAGGTGACAATTTGCAAACTGTGTTTTCTTATGCTACACTTGAGCAGGGTCTCATGCCTCCCAGGCTGGAAGAAAAAGTCTGTTTTAAGGAGCTAGATTAAACAAAAATCTCACTGTGAGGTAGGGTGTGGAGACAACAGTAAGAATTTCTTTGGATTTAGCCCCATAGAGATGAAAAAGTGTGGTAAGGCATCATAGGAGAAAATGTCCTAATCACTCCTTAAATTTTAACCAAATAAATTATGGGAAGAGGTGAGGAATCAGCATCAAGGTCACCAGTGCAGTAAATACAGTAATTGTTCACTGAGGAGTATATTCATGTCAGGAACACTTTGTACAAGGCAGGAAAAGCAACCGTTTGATCCTGTGTTCATGAGTAATACATGTCTTTCAGGTCTGTGACTGCTTACTATGCATCATGTTCTCTGTATTTCCATTTTTATTTTATTCCAGATAATTAAAAATGGCTAATATTCCCACAAGTACAAAGCCACAGCGATGTACTTTCATCTCCTTCTGAGGGCTTCATGTCATTTTAAAAATAAGAAAACCTCCCCCAGCTGGATCAAGTGTTTACTGCAGGAAAAAAAAAAATTAAATATATATCCATAACTGTAAAAGAATGTCTCCCAGTCCAAAGGCTGTCTGAAGATTCCTGTCAAAGATCAAAGGACTGTGCAAGGGGCCAGGCATATATGGGAATCTATGTGCAGTTTATGCTCTCTGCTGGATAAGAAATGCTGTGAGCCAAGTTACAAAGAAATTAGAAATTCACTTTTGATTGTGTTAACCTGGTTTGTACCTCCTATATCATCATCTTACCTTTGCTTTGAATTGAAAGTGGCAAGGACTACAGGTAGAAAAATAATATTAGAGAATTGTTAAAATGAACAATTATCCACTAGAGGCATCCATTTCAGTGACCTAGGAATTGCCATGAAGACTCAAAAAACATGTATCACCATATTTCCAAAAAAAAACCCCACCCTACCTCTGGTCAGAGTCGTGTACCAAGATAAGGGCAAAGGTTAAGCCAGGATAGTTCAGCATCAGCAACTGTCCTTTCTGGCTTTATGGAAGAGGGAGGAAAGGAGGTTTGGGGGAAAGTGGAACAGTGGTTTTAATACAGACAATTTGGCATTGGAGGCAAGGCAGAAGGCAACAAGCTGCCTAGCTGAGGGATGAGGGTCCTGGGGTTGGAGGATGCTGCAGTCTGACAGGGAGGCTGCAGGAAACCTGGCAGAAGGTTGTGCTTGAGAAGAGGAGAAGATGAGGAAGATGCTTACAGAACCACAAGTGGTACCTGAGTTCTTACTCCAAGGCTCGCTATTCCTCTGTCAGCAAATAACTAAAAAAAATGGTAAATATTTCTAGTACTGGTCTCCCAGAAAGACGACAGCTTAGTAGTATTATCTGTTACTCCATTAACTCACTTGCCAGAAGTCTAAAGGTCCAGCTCTGCTGATGACCCATAGGAGTGTCAGTGTGACGCCATGTGATGGAGTTTGTTTTTCCTTGCACCTTCCTTAAAGCCCTAGGAAATTACTCTCATGAAAACTTATTAAAAGGACTTTATTAATATAACAGAGTTAATCAGAGTATAAGCTAGGAAATACCAGAAGTGCCACAACCAGCCGACTGTTACTCCTCTGGGGTATCGCAGTCCCCACTAATAAAATATCACAACCAAAATTATAATAAAAAAAGCAAACAGATTTGTTTTGGTCAGTCATGCTGTGTTCGCTTTGAAAATGACTGCATGGTAAGGCGAGATTTTAAAAGTTCCAAACAGAAGCAATTAAGTTGGTGAAAGAAAATATGGCTATTTGCAAATATGCCTTATCCTCCTTCACTCTCCAGTGCAAGAGTGCTCCTAAGGGACCAGTTAATTTCTGCATGTGTATGTACTGTTCTTTAGGTCACAGTACAGCAGACTGAGACACAGAAGTTCAAGCCAAAATTGTTTTGCAATTAAGAAAGTGTTGCAAGGTGAAGTTGTGAGGGGAAATAATAAAAAAGGAGGTCTTCAGTATCACGTGTGTGTGTATATATATATATATTTACTTCAGTGGGTCTGAAGCATGTGATTTAACCTGAAGTACATGCTTAAGAAATACTGTTTTGAATTTGGCCAGATTTGTCTGTTTAAGAGAATTCATGAACAAGAGGCAAAGCTACATGCTACACATTTTATAATGCTTTGGTTTAAGGGTCTCTGGCTGTCAGAGGATAAAACTGATATGAATCGTGTTAGGCACATACATGAGGAGGAAAACACGAGAAAGGACTGACTGAGGAGCAGCCTTCATTGCCTTACAACTAATAGAGTCCTTGCCTTACCACAAGAAACTCTTTTCCAGCATGCTAGTGAGATACCAGCACAAATTAAGTGACTTTTCCACTGTCAGAAAGAACACTTTGGATTAAACCAGGGTCTCCCAAGGCCTAGCCCAAACTTCACAGCTCTAAGTAGTTGTACGTAACCCCCTCCATGCTAACTAAAAATAAGCTAAATATATTTTAAATGGCAAGCTTTTGAGAATTGTATTTTCTCAACAACCAGCCATGGAATACAGAACAAAGCAGAGCCCAAGTGTTAATTGCTCCAACCCCATAATTAAATGCAGACGTACTGTACTCTGTGATTCTTGAAAGCTTACCCACTTTTTTTTTTTTTTTGTCCAATAAAAAAGAACACCATCAAATTTTTGTTTGAGTAAATGCAATCGCTGACGTGACAATAGGTCATTGGCATAATTATGATTAGAAATGCCTTCACGTGTTAGCCACAAGATTAAAAAAAAAAAAAAAAAAAAAAAAAGGCAGTAGTCAAGCCACTGCAAATTATTCTGCTTATTAACATCCGGTATGCTTTAAAAAGCAGTGAATGCGCATGTGTTTATTTTGCGGTTCTGTCGGGGAATGGCCTTGGGATCTGACTGGGTGCACGCCTGCCCACATGAGCCCGTGCTCTTAGTTGGACGGGTGCAAGGCTGTCTGGCCCAGAAGCCAAACCCTCGCATCAGCACAGTATCGGGAGCAACCTAGTGCACGTCGCTTCTTTACTGGTGTGTCTTCAGAGCTCTGGACCAAAGGCCAGGCTGCTTCCATCCGGACCAAAGTATCTGCAGCTAGAGGCAGTGCCACTCTGCGTCCATTCCCGTCCTGTGATCTGAGCCAATGCGAGCAGTTTTCCCCCGGCCAACAGCAGGTAGGTCCTGCTGTCCCTCTCCAGACCTGACCTTCACTGTTGGCCCCGTTTAGGAATTAAATGCGTGTTGAATATTTATGATTTAGACGTGCCAAGACTGAGCCTTTACTTCCCAGTAAAAATCAAGTGGCTGGTTTAATAAACAAGAAATCTGTTCCAAAAACTGAATCAACACATTATACGCCTTCAGGGCTTGGACCCCCTAGGCTACCTTCTGCTTCTGTATTATTTGCAACCTGCACATTTTCTTTGCAGACCTAGACACTTACAAACAAAACAAAAGCTGAGATTTTCTTAGCATCTCTCATGGATTCTTAAATCAGACACCAGGTTTGATAGGCCACCGTAAATTGACAGCAATCATTTTCATTTCGGGACGTTGATCTCATGACCACCTGTAGGTTGGTGAGTCCCTTGGGTGGGTAGGAGGGCAGGAGTACTGCAGCTCTCACTGCAGGGTTCATCGGAGGGAATCCTGGAAGCCTTGGCCCAGCACTGAATGGAAATGCAGGTTACCCATCCCCAAGATCCACCTCAATCCCTCACTGGCAGCATCTGTCTTTCAGGCATTTACCTTCTGCCTCCAGATTCCCATGCAGAGAGGGGCTAAAAGCATTGCTACACTCACATCTTATAGTAAACGGACCTTGTACTACAGTGGTAACTGCTGTGCCCCAGCAGCACTGACTGGTAATTTGAAAGGTGCTTTACGATCCCTGCAGAGTGAAATAAACTCGTAAGTGAGAGGTAAAGCCTTGAGCCTGAATAGCGCAATAAAGCTGTTTAACTCTAGCCAGTTCGACAGTCTCAAATAATATCCCCTTGGGGGCCGAGCACATTCCTGTGGGAGAGGAGGAAGAGGATCAAGATGCTCTCTAGGTGCTGTGCTGCCGGCGGTGTTGGGGCTTTGGCCGTCAATGCAGAATGTGCTGCCCTTTGTCCCCAGATCCACGGGCTACCAGACTGTATACACACCAGCCACAAAGCCACCCTCCAGGACGGTGACAAGGTCTTCTGGTGCTAATTCAAATCTCCAAAGGATTTCTCAATCTGATCTGCTGATTTGCTGACTATCCCAGTATACCTGCTTTTGTTGTTCTTGTTTCTTTTTTTCCCTTGGTATCCAAATATAATACAAGTGGCGGATTAATTGATTTTTTTTTTTTTTGCCTTCTATATCAGTACTGCATCCTACTGTCACATTTGCATTCTGCCTTAGATATTCCCTTATAAATAAGATGCTCAATCTGAGGAAGCTGTGGTTGTTTTAGGGAGTCTCTGACACACTTCAAACATTTTCCCAGAAAAATATAAATTGTTCCTTTCTAAATTTATCCTGCAGTTTCAGACGAGAAAAAAATCATTCTTCTGAAGCCGTTAAATATGATGCAATTACTAAAAGGCTGTGGTATGCTCAACCAAGACACAATAGCATCAGTCTGAACAGGTAAACCAGCCCTGCAGAATGTCTTAGAGATCCTTATAAATAAAAGTAAATAATTAATATTGGTTCTATAACCAAACTGTTTCAGGCCCATGGGAATACAGGGAGAGAGCCGACTTCTTCAGTGAGAGCTGTAGCCATTATTTTGGCAGCATTGAACCTAGATTTATGGTATTCCATTAAGAAGGAATGCATTAACTCTACAACTGTCACCACTGCATTGATGTCAAAGGAAGTGCTCTGCCTGGCTTTGCTGACTTGATTGATGGAAAATAGTATATCAGTCTAGTTGCTTTCTCTCTGATGAGAAAGGCAAGTATCCTGGATCCCTGAAGCTACAGAGAAACTCCATTTTTTTTTCTTACTCTTGGATAATTTTCCTGCATTCTTTGGCCCTGGTCATGGAAAAGGAAAAACAGGACAGTTGACTTTTTTTTTTACATTGCCCAGAAAGGAAGCAACCCAATAGGCAGGGCAATGAAGTTGAACCTTTCTCCCCTTCCACTCCAGTTCCAAGCTCGAACATTGCACCAGTGCTATCACGACAGCAGGCCAAACTGAAGCAACTACAGATTCTGAGGTAACCACAGATTGAAACCCAGTCAAAATCCTGATTGTAACACAGACATTTCTCACCATGTATCCACTGTCCCAGTGGGCTGCAAAAAAATATTGGATTCATCTCTGGCAAGTACTTAAAATAGCACCTATTCCTGCAGCACATTAAAAAGACACTTATTTTTTTGCAAAGCAGGGAAGTGCTGCTATTGCTCTTGAACAGACGGAGAATTAAGACACACAGGAAATGTCTAGTAAGTAAAATAACCAGGGACCATTCTGCAGCCCCGAGGCCAAGCAGCACAGCATGGCTCAGCTCTACATACCGTGGTCTCTTCTTTCCCTTCCCCACCCCCTCCAAACCAGAGTATTTGAGACGAAATTGCCTGCTGGGAGCGGTCCCTGGCACATGCTCTCCCCTGAAGCGTGTCTGTGTGTTGTCTGGAGGAGCAGCAATCAGCACAGCCGGAGCTGTGGTGCTCGGGAGTGTGCTAGCAATTAAAGAGCACGGACAACTACCAGCCTGTGCTGCCGCCCCGGTCTGTCTGGCAGGCTACAGAGAGCAAAGGAGAGGCATGCCCTGTTACGGACCCATAAAGGACTTGGCAGGACAGGGGCATTCAAGTCCATAAATGCAATCCTTGAAATTTACCTCTAACCCTATTGGCATTTAAATTTTTGACAGCAAGCTGCCCCAGATGGGTAACATCCTGCATCTGTGTGTTTTCCCGGCTGCTTTGGCTGTGGTGACCTGGGACCTGAGCCTTTCTGCTCTGAAAGACTTTGGTCAGGGTACTGTTTTTGTCAGGGAGCAATGTAAAGAAGAGATTGGAGACATGATCAGATCTGCAAATGAGATCCCCAAGCACACACACGTGTGCACAAGCACACACAGACCTGTGCACACATCCATGCACAACCCGAGCGACATTGCCAGGTAAAAATTTTCAGATGCACCTAATATAAACACAGGCAGACACATCTTGCACGAAACAGTGCCCAAGTCTCTTCATGCCCCAAGTACCAAGTGATGCCCCCAGTGGCACATTGGAGTT